ACATATTATATAGTCAGGCATAATTTGTGTTTTTATGAGTGGTTTTATAGTGAACTCTCAAATGATCTACATTGGTTTTTAGGAGTCAGTAGGAGTTATTTAAGTGATTTCAGAGGCCTTGAAATCAGTTTATTCATTTTTGGTTTTGTATTTTGTGTTTAGTCCAAAGAAAATTTGTTCAGGTTTTCACAGGTGAAATGGACAAGATGGATCATGTCTATTTGCTTTCAGAGACCATCAATAAGTATATGTTGAGGACATCCTTCATGGGCCAGGTTCTGAATTCTGTCTTGTCCTGGAAAAGCAGAGAGAATATTGTGAAAAGGATGATGGCTCTTGAATTTCTGAGTGTAAATCTAAGCCTTTTCCTTAGTACCTGGGATAAAATCAAACCCAAGTTCCCATTTCAGGCACAGACTAGCTTAGAACCATGGAAAAAACACAAGCTTTGGAACTAAACAGAACTGATATAATTTAACCGAAGGATCTGAGCCTCAATTTTCTCATCTGTAAAAGGGATGGTAGGTTCTTAAGTTGGTTGAAAGGATTAAGTTAGACAATATATGTGAAATGTTCAGAGGACTGCTCCACAATGTTAGAGAGCTCCCCCCCTGCTTCCCAGTTTAGGTGTGGTCTTTTGTTGAATGCACTAAACAGCTGTTAGAATCCCCAGTGCTTGGTTTACAGAGATGAGTAATGCAGTTTCTTCCCTTAGTGTTTCTTTCTTTTTTTGTTTTGTATTGTTTTTTTTTTTTATTTATTTTTATTTAATTAATTAATTTATTTTTGTTACAGATGTTTCTCTTTTCCCCCCACTGATTTCCCCTCCCCCTCCCCCCCTGCCCTCTTCCCAGCTTTGTTGTCCATATCCGTTGTTCATGCATGCATGTATATAAATTCTGTGGTTTATCTCTCCCCCCCACCCCCTCTTCTGGGGATAGTCAGTCTGTACCCCAGTTCCACCGTCTCTGGGACTACCACATTCCTCAGACTGTTATGTTCATTATATTCCACAAATAAGTGAGGTCATATGATACTTGTCTTTCTCTGTTTGGCTTGTTTCGCTTAGGATGACACTTTCCAGGTCCCTTCATGTCATCTCAAAGGATAAGAGATCTTTCTTTCTTACAGCTGCATAGTACTCCATTGCATATATGTACCACGGCTTTTTTATCCATTCGTCTACTGATGGATGTTTGGGCTGTTTCCAGATCTTAGCTATTGTAAATAGTGCTGCTACAAACATGGGGGTACATATATTCTTTCTGATTGGTGTTTCAGGCTTGTTAGGGTATATTCCTAGAAGTGGAATCACTGGGTCAAATGGCAGTTCAATTTTTAATTTTTTAGGTAACACCATATTGTTTTCCATAGTGGCTGCACCAGTATGCATTACCACCAGCCCTTAGTGTTTCTTAAAACTGGTTTAGGGACTAATCACTTTGAAAGAACTACTTAAAAATGCATACTTTCATGTTCCTCCCCAGACAATCAGATTTATTAGGTATGAGATTGGGTCGAGGAATCTACCTTTTTATGCTTTTTTTGTGTGTGGTACGTGCCCTTAGTGGGAACTGAACCCGGGACTCTCTGGTCTGCAGGCTGATGCTCAGCCACTGAGCCAAACTGGCCAGGGCGAAATCTACCTTTTTAAACTGATAAGAACAGATACTATACTTGATCTTAGCCAAAAGGCCGAGAAGCGATAGGAATCTACCTTTTTAAATAGCAGCCCACAGAATTCTGATAGTCTGACTTTATATTTTGAGAAGCTCTGATCTAGAGAGAGATGTTGTTAATTATAATGTAATGTGATGTTTTATAATAAAACCATACAAGAGAATAATGCCATTTGAACTGTCCTGGTATAGACAGGACATTTTTTAGGACAGGAGTTTTTTCAGGAGCTAGAAGGTAACAGTAAAAACAAACAAACAAAAACAATAAAGACTCAGACCCCTTCTGGGAAGCCATGGGAAAAGATTTCCCTAAGTTGAGAGGAAAAAGCCAGAGGAGGGAAAGGTGGGGGGGGGGGATGGGAGGAAGGCAGAAAAAAATTTTTTTTGGTACATGCCCCTCGCGGAAACCGAACCCAGGACTCCCTGGTCCGCAGGCCAGCGCTCCAACCACTAAACCAAACTGGCTAGGGCAAAACTATTTTTTGTATTAAGCCCATTTTTATAAAGGGTAATACAAGGTACTGCTTTATTCACTAAAGAATTAATGGAAAACTTTTTGTGGGACTGTTCTGGATTGGAATATGGAATTATAACCTTGGGCAAGTTACTTCCCAGCCTTAATTTGTTCACTTATAAAATATATAATATCTCTAATACTTACTAATATCTTCCTTATAAGGATGACATAAGGAATAAAAAGTGCCTAACTGACCTAGGCATCTAATATTTCACAGTCACTTCACCTTCTTCAGGCTCTGCCCTAAGCAACAGAGGCTTCAGTTTTAGAGGAATCCATACTTTTTTTTTTTTTTTTTTATCCTCACCCGAGGACATTTTTCCATTTTTTGTTCAGATAGAGCGGGAGGGAGAGAGAGGAAGAGAGAGAGAGAGAGAAACATCGATGTGAAAGGGACACATCGAGTGGCTGCCACCCGCACAACCGACCAGGGCCAGGGACAAACTGCAACCGAGGTACGTGCCCCTAGCGGGAACCGAACCCGGGTCTCTCAGGACCGCAGGCCGACGCTCTAACAGCTGAGCCAAACCGGCCAGGGCGAGGAATCCATACTTTTAAAAAAATTTTAAATTAAAAAAAAATTTTTTTTTTTTATCCTTACCTGAGGACATTTTTCCCTTTTCCGTTCAGATAGATTCGGAGGGAGAGAGACATACATCGACGTGAAAGGGACACATCGAGTGGCCGCCACCCGCATGACCAACCAGGGCCAGGGACAAACTGCAACCAAACTACATGCCCTTAGCAGGAACCGAACCCGGGGCTCTCTGGACCGCAGGTCGACGCTCTAACCGCTGAGCAAAACCAGCCAAGGCCATAGTTTTTTTCTTTAATCTTCACCCAAGGATATTTTTCCATTTGTCTTCAGATAGAGTGGGAAGAGGAAAGAGAGAAACATAGATGCAAGAGAGACACATTGGCTGGTTGCCTCCTGCAAAAACCCGACCAGGGCCAGAGACAAACTACAACCGAGGAATGCGCCCTTGACAGGAATTGAACCCACGACTCTCTCTCTGGTCCACAGTCCAGCGCTCTAATTGCCGAGCCAAACCCGCCAGGGCAGGAATCTATACTTTATTTATAATCTTCCCTTGAGGATATTTGTTCCCATTGATTTTTAGAGAGTGGAAGGGAGGGAGGGAAAGAGAAAGAAAGAAACGTGGATGTGAGTTGGTTGCTTCCTGAACATGCCCTGATCAGGGCTGGGGAATTGAACAGGCAACCCAGGTACATGCCCTTGACTGGAAATCGAACCCATGACCCCTTGGTTCCAGGGCTGACACTCTTAACCACTGAGCCACACTGGCCAGGGCAGGAATCCATCCATGCTTTAAAACATGACAACCTACCATGAAGTGCTGAAAATGTAGATGATGAAATGATAAAATATTATGTACAAGTGCTAAAGAGGGTGACCTCATCATTGACAAGCTACCCTGGCCACGTCCACTAAAACCAGGGTAAAGGCAGAACGGGAGGCCAGAAATCCAGGTGCCTCTGGAAGAATCTCCTTTAATATTTGTAGTTGCAAAAAACAGGAACTCTTACTATTTGTTTTATGGATAAATGGTATTTACAGTTAAGTGTGTGTGGTCGTGGTGGGGGGAGTAAGTGGTTTATAGGACCTTGACTCTGGGAGGTTCTCCAATGCATTTTATACTCTAAGACAAGCTCTTTTGAAAGTTAACCCGCCATAAATTAACTGGTCAGCAAATTTTAAAAAATGGCGTTTGCTCGAGTTTCATGAAAACCTTGCAAATTGGTCAGTTTAGTATTGACCGACGGCGTGAGCGCCCGCGCTAGATTTCATGTCGCCCGCACCGCACCCCCCCTCCCAGGGTTTACACCCACGTTCAGAGGCATCTGCCTCATTATCGACCAGGCCTGGGAGGAGTGACTTGAGAAGTACTTTCAAAGGTCTTTAAATGAAGACTCAAATGAACCCTGGTGATGAGGCATAACTGCGCCTCGAGTTTCCTGGCCCTGACACTTGTTGAGCTGAAAGGCTTCGCTGAAGCGTATCATCTAGTCACTGCAAAGACGTCCCGTGAAGAGAGCCAATATGGCGACTGACTCCTCTTGGCACAGCCCTGTTCCCTCCCCCGTAACAAGCTGTTTTAGTAACGTCCATTGGCCAAGATGGAGGCGGTGCCGGTCTTCCTTCGCCTCCTCATTGGACTCAGTGACTGACGGAGACGCCAGTTTTCCTCTGCCTACTCTAAGTTCCCGCCCTCAGAGTTCATTCGGCGTTTAATTGGTTTTTAGTTCCCGTCAATTTGCGTCTTATCTTGTCTTTTTTCAGCGTTAATCCAATCATAACTTTCCTGGCTGCCCGCCTGATTTCTCATTGGTTTTGATCAGCTTCATTTTATCCCATTCCTGCCTACTTCTTATCTCTCCTCCCACCAGGACTTTGCTCAGGGGCGTCCAAGGTTCTGGTTGGTCGTTGTTCTGTCATTCTAATCAAAGCTGTTCCTATCGTTACCTCTTAGGGAGCCCGCCTGTCGGTTGACTGGTTTCTTCCCAAGCCTGTCATTTTAGGTCCCGCCCACTTTCACTTCCTGCATCTTTTATTGGGTCTTAAAACTTAGGAGGAGGCCTTTTAGGGCGGACACCGGGCACGCAACTTTGTCTTACCCGCCTTAGAAAGCAAGCGAGTCCTGCCATTGGGTTACCTGACCGCCTTTCTTCTGCAAGTCCCTCCTTTCTCCCTCCCTCATTGGGCGGGGCAGCAGCGGAGGGGTGGAGCCTAGACCGGGCTTGTGGCGCGCTGCTCCCTCCTCCTTACCCCCCCCTCCCTGTCCGGTCCGGGTTCGCTTGCCTCGTCAGCGTCCGCGTTTTTCCCGGCCCCCCCCAACCCCCCCGGACAGGACCCCCTTGAGCTCGTCCCTCAGCTGCCACCATGAGCGGTAAGGATGACTCCACTTCAAGCTTAGGGGTGGTAGGGAATGAGGGGGCGCGCGCGAGGGCCGACCGGGCGGTCCCCGCCGTGAGGGGGGGCGGGCGGGAGGCGGCGGCGGCGGCCTTGGTCCCGCCCGGGGCGGAGGGAAGGGAGGGAGAAGGGGCAGTGGCGGGGCCTCTGAGGGGGAGGGGGATGGGCCGCCCGCCCCGGGGGAGGGGGCAGCGTGGCCTCGCCCGCCCCCTGCCCGCCCCGGCCACGGGGGGCCGGGCCTTACCCCCCACTACTCGGCCGCTTGCCTGAGGCTCCTCCCGTCGGGGGCTGGAGCTGCGGGGGCGGCCCGAGTAGTGCAGGCCCCGCCCGAGCCAACCGCCTCCCTGGTCCGCCCTCTGGTCGCCGCCTGCCCCAGGGTCCTCCCCCCCCGTAGGTTTCCCCTCCCCCCCTTCCGTCCCGCCCTTTCCACGCCCCTCACCCCGAAACCGCCCTTTCCCTCTAGGGTCCGCCCTCAGTCAGCCCGGAAACCTCCAGATTTCTAATCCCTGGACCCTTTTAGTCTTTTAACCAGTATTCACAAATGTTTCCGCAGTCACACTTTTTATCTCGTCTTTCCTCTTGTTACTTTTTTATATTTGAATTTTTCTGTTTTTCCATCTCCTTTGAACCTAATTTTAGCACGATTTCAATACACATAGATGTTATTTTTTGCTTTAACCCATCCTTCCCCCCTCCCCGATACTTTTTCTTACAGTGAAACTTTAAACATGCTCACTGTTTTTCACATTTCCTATACCAAAAGCATCTTTTCAATGTTTTCTGAGTTTAAGCTTGTGCAGAGGAGAGTTGAGGCCCAGTTTTGGCATCACTGAGTCTAGTTCATGTCCTATCTGTCCTACAACTGTTCCTTCTCTTCCATCTTTCACCTTCCTGTTAGTCATGTCTGTTTTTTTCATAATCTCCTCTACCCTTTCTCACCTTACCCTTTTTATTCCCCCAGTTTTAAATTGTTTATCTTTTAATTCTTTCTAGACCAAGATCACTCCATGGATGAAATGACAGCTGTGGTGAAGATTGAGAAAGGAGTTGGTGGCAATAATGGGGGCAATGGTAATGGTGGTGGTGGCTTTTCTCAGGCTCGAAGCAGCAGCACAGGCAGCAGCAGCAGTGGAGGAGGAGGAGGACAGGTAAGTAATGATCAGGGCAGAGTGGGGAAGGTGTTGAGAGGATGTACATAGTCTTGGATGTAGTCTTATCACAGAATAAGTTTTAGGAAGGGGCTGACCATTTTATAGATAGGAAAGTAACTACAGCAGATTCCCCAAAGTTGAGAATTTTAGCAATAGAGACTTTTTTCTTCTCTTTATTTGTCTGCATTGTTTCGGTGTATATGTGTTGTATATTACTCCCTAGACTGGCAGCTGATGTCACAAAACTAATTCTTTTCCTCTCATTTTTTTGGCTAGGAATCACAGCCATCCCCTTTGGCTCTATTGGCAGCAACTTGCAGCAGAATTGAATCACCCAATGAAAACAGCAACAATTCCCAGGGTCCAAGCCAGTCAGGGGGCACAGGTGAGCTTGACCTCACAGCTACACAACTCTCACAGGGTGCCAATGGCTGGCAGATCATCTCTTCCTCCTCTGGGGCTACTCCTACCTCAAAGGAACAGAGTGGCAACAGTACCAATGGCAGCAATGGCAGTGAGTCTTCCAAGAATCGTACCGTCTCTGGTGGGCAGTATGTTGTGGCTGCCACCTCCAACTTACAGAACCAGCAAGTCTTGACAGGATTACCTGGTGTAATGCCTAATATTCAGTATCAAGTAATCCCACAGTTCCAGACGGTTGATGGGCAACAGCTGCAATTCGCTGCCACTGGGGCCCAAGTGCAGCAGGATGGTTCTGGTCAAATACAGATCATACCAGGTGCAAACCAACAGATCATCACAAATCGAGGAAGTGGAGGCAACATCATTGCTGCTATGCCAAATCTACTCCAGCAAGCTGTTCCCCTTCAAGGACTGACTAATAATGTCCTCTCAGGACAGACTCAGTATGTGACCAATGTGCCGGTGGCCCTGAATGGGAATATCACCTTGCTACCTGTTAACAGCGTTTCTGCAGCTACCTTGACCCCTAGCTCTCAGGCAGTCACAATCAGCAGCTCTGGGTCCCAGGAGAGCGGCTCACAGCCTGTCACCTCAGGGACTGCCATTAGTTCTGCCAGTTTGGTATCGTCACAAGCTAGTTCCAGCTCCTTTTTCACCAATGCCAATAGCTATTCAACAACTACTACCACCAGCAACATGGGAATTATGAACTTTACCACCAGCGGATCAGCAGGGACCAACTCTCAAGGCCAGACACCCCAGAGGGTCAGTGGGCTACAGGGATCTGATGCTCTGAACATCCAGCAGAACCAGACATCTGGAGGTTCACTGCAAGCAAGTCAGCAAAAAGAGGGAGAGCAAAACCAGCAGTCACAGCAACAACAAATTCTTATCCAGCCTCAGCTAGTTCAAGGGGGACAGACCCTCCAAGCTCTTCAAGCAGCACCATTGTCAGGGCAGACCTTTACAACTCAAGCTATCTCCCAGGAAACCCTCCAGAACCTCCAGCTTCAGGCTGTTCCGAACTCTGGCCCCATCATCATCCGGACACCAACAGTGGGGCCCAATGGACAGGTCAGTTGGCAGACTCTTCAGCTGCAGAACCTCCAAGTTCAAAACCCACAGGCCCAGACAATCACCTTGGCCCCAATGCAGGGTGTTTCCCTTGGTCAGACCAGCAGCAGCAATACCACCCTTACACCCATAGCCTCAGCTGCCTCTATCCCTGCGGGCACAGTCACTGTGAATGCTGCTCAACTCTCCTCCATGCCTGGCCTCCAGACTATTAACCTCAGTGCTTTGGGTGCTTCAGGAATCCAGGTGCACCAGCTTCCAAGCCTGCCATTGACTATAGCAAATGCCCCAGGTAAGGTTTCTAATTTTTTTGCATTTATTTCCACAGCTAACTAGCTCCTCAGCTGAAACTCTTGATTCCAAAGAAGGGAGTGACACTTTCTTGAGGGCTAATCATTTAGGCAAGTCAATTATAGAAATAGCAATGAGCCCTGGCTAATTTGACTCAGCGGTTGGAGCGTCTGCCTGCGGACCGGAGAGTCCTGGGTTCAGTTCTCCCTAAGGGCACGTACCTCAGTTGCAGTTTGTCCCCGGCCCCAGTTGGGGTCGTGTGGGTAGCAGCCACTCGATGTGTCTCTCTCACATCGATGTCTCTCTCTCTTCCTCCCTCTCTTCCTCCCGCTCTATCTGAAGATAAATGCAAAAAAAAAAAGTCCTTGGGTGAAGATAAAAAAAAGAGAGAGAGAAATAGTAATGATTCTATTTAAGTCAGTTGGAACCGATTTAATGTAAACTTTTTTTTTTTTCAGTTAATCTGATGAGAAAGGAGTACTTCTGGGCATTGTCTTTGGGATCTATGTACTTCCAGTGCCTTTAGTACTACAGAACAAGGATCTGCAAACTTTCTGTAAAGGGCCTGACAGTATATATTTTAGGTTTAGTGGGCTACATATGGTCTTAGTCACATATTCTAATTTGCTTTTTACAACCCTTTAAAAAACAAAATCAGCCCGGCCGGCGTGGCTCAGTGGTTGAGTATTGACCCACACTCCAAGAGGTCATCAGTTCGATTCCCGGTCAGGGCACATGCCCACGTTGTGGGCCTAATCCCCAGTGGAGGCATGCAGGAGGTGACCAATCGATGTTCTCTTTCATCAATGTTTCTATCTCTCTCCCTCTCCCTTCCTTTCTGTCTAAAATTAATAAAGGAAAAAGAAAATTAAAAAAACAAAAACAAAAATCAATCTTAGCTTGAGTGAGGGTTTTTTTTTGGCCTGTAGGATCTACTTTTCTGTAGGGTAAGAATTGATTGTAAACTTGACTTATTTATAGGACAGTTATTAAGTCATCAGATATTTCTCATGAAGAACTGTAACTCCTAAGTGAGGGGAAAAGTGACATAACGGATTCCAGGAGGATTTTTTCCAACAAAATAACTTCTCTGCCCTGGCCGGTTTGGCTCAGCGGTTAGAGCGTCGGCCTGTGGTCCCGAGAGACCCGGGTTCGGTTCCCGCTAAGGGCATGTACCTCGGTTGTAGTTTGTCCACGGCCCTGGTTGGTCGTGCGGGTGGCAGCTACTCGATGTGTCCCTTTCACATCGATGTTTCTCTCTCTCTTCCTCTCTCCCCCTCACACTCTACCTGAACAAAAAATAGAAAAATGTCCTCAGGTGAGGATTAAAAAAAAAAAAAAACTTCTCTGGTTAATTTTTTTTTTTTTAATCCCCACCCGAGGACAATTTTTTTTGCATTTATCTTCAGATAGAGTGGGAGGGAGGGAGGGAGAGAGAAACAATGATGATGCTAGAGAGACACATCGAGTGTGGTTGCCACCCACACAACCCCAACCAGGGCCGGGGACAAACTGCAACTGAGGTATATGCCCTTAGCAGGGAACCGAACCCGGGACTCTCTGATCTGCAGGACGAAGCTCTAACTGCTGAGCCAAACCGGCAAGGGCTCTCTGGTTAACTTTTAGTTAACCAGGGTGTTCTACTCTGAGCAAGCTGGGTTACTCAAGGTGTAATTTTTTAAACTCCTAGTAACCTTAAAAGTAGAGTCCATTCACCTCCCCTTACACTAATGTGTGTGTGTGTCTATGTATTTTTTTATATTAACATTTAAAAAAAGTTCCTTTTTTTTTTTTTTTTAGCCTCACCCAAGGATATTTTTTCCATTGATTTTTAGAGAGAATGGAAAGGAGGGAGGGGGAGAGAGAGACACATTGATTGGTTGCCTCCCACATGTGCCCGGACCATGGCCAGGAATCAAACCTGCAACCCAGGTACATGCCCTTGATCGGGAATCGAATCCGCAACCCTTTGGTCCTCAAGCCAATACTCTAACCACTTAGCAACACCACCAGGGCCGAATGTATATTTTTAATAAGCTTCCTAGGTTATTCTGATACATCCTAGATAAGAGAACCACTCTCTAGACTGCTATGAAAGTAGTTTGTGGTTGGGGGGCCAGGACGAGGCCTGGAATAGAGAGGTGGAGTTGAGAGGAATTAGGAATAAGAACACTGAAGGGAAAAAGAGTCTTTAGGGAAAAGATATATTTACTGGAATGTGTATTGAATCAGTTTACCACAATGTTCAGTCATTGAATTTGAACTAAATTACACAATTAGTTAATTTGAAATTTAAGCCATATTAGTTTAAAAAGGGTATAGTATATTTATAATTTATTATTATTTCTTTATTTTTTAATCCTCAGTCGAGGATATTTTTTCATTTATCTTTAGATACAGTGAGAGGGAGGAAAAGAGAGAGAGAGACATCAATTGGTTGCCTCCCACACGACTCCAACCAGGGCCGGGACCGAACTGAAACCGAGGTATGTGCCCTTGCTGGAGTTGAACCCACGACTCTTTGGTCCGTGGGCCGATGCTCTCACTGCTGAGCCAAATCATAGAGGGCTAAAATTTTAAATCCCATCACAAGGTAGCTAATCTTTACTAAAGCATGATAAAAGGATACATACTGCACATATTTTAATATTCTGGAGTAATATATAAAAATTATAATGGGGCCTGGTCGGTGTGACTCAGTGCTTGAGCATTGACCCATGCACCAGGAGGTCACTGGTTCGATTCTGGGTCAGGGCACATGCCCAGGTTGTGGGCCTGGTCCCCGAGGGGGGGGGCATGCAGGAAGTGGCCAATTTATGTTCTCTCTCTCACTCTCCCTTCCTCTCTAAATATCAATAAAGAAAAAAATTATTATGGGAAGTTATTTAATTCAATTGAACTTCTAGCTCTATTAGAATATATGTAGGTGTATACATTGTTTACTTTTATTCCAGTGTTTCATTCCATTTCTTAAATAAGTGAGGATAATAGGCAACCCTATTTCCTGCCTTCTGCAGGTTTAGAAAATTTGATGGGGTCAAGTTCCCTAACTTTCTTACATTCTTGTGGTGTATTTAAAATGACTAAATTTTGAACTTTAACAAGACAGAAGTTTTCTTAGTGATCTTAGGCTAGAAAGTTAGAGCTGAAGGTAACTAAGAAATAATCTAGTAAACTGCTTTATTTTCTCAATGAGGACATTAAGATACTAAAAAGCACTTAAGTGATGAGACTACAGCTAGAGTTTGGGCTTGTAGTTAGTTCTCCTAGTCTAGGGCATTTCATTACCTGTTAATTTTAAGCCTGGATTTGAGAAATCTTTTAGATCATTAAAATGTGTATATTTGCTTCTTTGAAATTTAATGCTCTAGAGCTTATATAGGCAAGTGTTATATAGGCTACAAATTATGGAGAAAGTTTAATAAAAAAACTGAAATTAACAGTTTGGAAAAGTAGATACTTTCTGTGTAATCTGCATTAGCATGTTTGGTCTCTCTATGTTCTGAGGTTGTATCCAGCAGTTACTCTTCAAAGGAAAGCAAAGCTGTGGGATTGTTCCCATTAATAACAATTTGGATCCCTGCAATTTCTAAAAGGTTTATAACATAAGCTCTGAGGAATAGTTATGCGGCACTCTCATTGCTAAATCATGCTCTGGGGAAATCTGCCATTTAATATGTCATAGGATAGGGCTACCTAGCTGTTATTGATGGTCTCTGAGCTCAAGAAAATGCATGCCTTTCTGTAAGGTAGCAGCAGCTTGACATTCACTAATGAGATGGGGCACCGAAAGGCCATTTTGTGAGAGTTGAGGTTGTTTGCTTCATTAATAGTGGTTTCTGAAGATAAAAGTTTCCTCCTTTCTGGTTAGTCATACTTGTGCAACATTTTTTTTTTTTCCCCTTCAGTTGATCTGACTTCATTCTTAATGACAGATAATAAAATTATTTCCTTGAAGTTTAGTGCTGTTCAGCTGTTGCCTGGCAGCAACAAAGTGTCTCATTTTACCCCCTTTTCTGGTATATAGTTATTTTACTAGAAAAACTCAAATCTTTTGGTAGTGTGATGTGGTAGAATAGGTATGTAGATAGCACTTAAAAAGAACATGGTTGTGAAAGACTGCAGCTTCCATGATGTTCACTTAGTCTGTTTACATTTATTATTTTTTAAAAATAATCTTTTTTAAAAAAGTGTAAGCTCTCCTGTTGACCTTCACTCTTGTTTACTTCTGTTTGCTGAATACACAGGCAAAGGCACAAACTTAGAAACAAATCAGCCACCTCTGTATTCCTGTTTTTCATGGTTCTGATCCTGGTGGGTAGTAGTGAGGAAGGGACCACCCAGTAAACTAAGTTTAGTTTCCAGACAGTGAAATGATCTATGGGCTTCTAGTTTTTGCTTTATTTTTAAAGTTATCAGCAGCTTTTTTTTCTTTTTAATACCCTTTCCCTTTTATCAGCACCCTTTCCTCTCATTTTGTAGTCACACTCATAGATCTTGTTTTTGTTTTTTCAGTTTAAAGCTTCAGGATTTTGATTTTTTGTTGTTGTTTTGTCTTCAGCAACTGCTAAGTCCTGAAAACTCTTACCCCAGGTTGAGTGGGGGCCAGCTTTGAAAGACTGAATTTGGGTGACTTCAGGGGAGTTCTGCCTAATAAAGAGTGCAGGGCAGAGCTTTGGCAGGAGAATAGAACATACTTCCTTGATAGCTATAATTCACTAAGAAGCAAATTTCAGGCACTAAAAATAAAAATTTCACATCTGTTCGGTTTTATCGGGGTCAGGAAAATGTCTTCTCTTAGAAGTTAAGTTGAATGTGATACCAGAGTTGGTTTGCCAACAGTATCACTAAACTGGGGGTCATATTGCTGAGACCTAATTTGTTAAAAACTTGTATTTTTAGATTAGTGCATTTGAACATTAGTCATAAGTAGATTTAAATTATTTAAATGTGTTCAGAATTTTTCTAGTGTAAAAGGTCTTATGAGAAAATATCCTGTCT